CAAATTTCAGTAAGACTTGTTCTAAAGAGGTTAGTCCCAGAAAGCTAATATCCCAAGCATTGCCTTCAGTTGGCCCTGTGTTTCGGATATCCAACTTTCAGACAGTCAATCTTCAGTAAGACTTGTATCCCAGAAGCATTGCCTTCAGTTGGCCCTGTGTTTCGGATATCCATTTTGAAGAAGTTCAGAAATTGCTTATTCAACTAAAGTCATACTTCAATTTCTGTGGGGGCAAGAAGCACGCAGTGCAGCTATGTTCGGCAGAGTTGAAGAAAAGAAACAGTAAAGCATTCAAAAATAAAGCAACTGAAAAAAAAAAATTGAGCTACAAGTTCAATAATTCAGTATCGGCAGCCGCCCACAAGCGGAAAATAACAGCTGCCGAAATACGTACATAAGCAAAAAAAATAAAACTGCTGTACGACAAGGCAAGCTGAAGCAAAAAACAAGGCAAAAAACTCAGAAAGCGGCAAGTCTAAAGTTAAGCACATGATGAACCGCAAGATTCTGAAGACGACTGCCCGAGTTCCTATGCTTCAGCCGGCGGATCAGACTGATCAGCGTTGAGTCCCATGGTGGCCTCAGCCCCAGCAGCAGAAGAGGCGGGCTTTGCACTTTGCCGAGCCTCCCTTTCCCTCTGCTCAGCTTCCAACTCCAGTCTTTCAGCTTCCTCTTCGGCTTCCTCAGCCTTAAGAATTTCAGCTTCAGCTGGAGTTGCAAACTTCATGTGAGGGTCTTCGGGATTCTGGACCCACTCAGCACATTTAGACCAGTCCAGCTTCGGCTCAGCATGAAGGCAGACTCTTCGGCATACTCGGAATCCGTTTCTGAAACCCATCTCATATTCCTCTTGGGTATAAACACGGACCTTGAGTAAAGCCTCAGCATCAGCCAGCTTCTTCTGGGTCTCCTCCAAGTCTTCCTTGGATTTCTTCAGCTCATCAGCGACTTTGGAGGAGGAACCCTTCAGCTCATTCAGCTCTTGCTGAATTTGGAAAGCCTTTGTCTGAGCTTGGGCCACTTCAACTTTCTGGATCAGCAGTTGATCCTCAGCCTCTTGGAATTTAGCTCTTTGGGCTTCAGCAGCAGCAGCAGCCTCTGAGAGTTGGACGTCTTTGGCCAGGAGCAACTCTTCAGCAGCCATTCGGCTGGCTTCAAGAGCCTCTAGACGCTGCTGTACTTCAGCTTGTGCAGCAGTTCCTTCTTGAATTCGGCTCTCAATAGCAGCCTTGAATTTGGAGACGTCCACTCCCATATGCTCCTGGAGGAATTTTTCCCCTTCCATCAGTGGGGGAAAAACCTCCATCTCCATAGCATCGCAGAAGGTTTTCAGAGCTTCGGCAGCTTTTTTACCGTACTCCTCAACCTCCTGCTGCTTCTCTTCAGCTGCTGCTTGCTTCAGCTTAGCAAGCTTAACTTCCTCTTCAGCCACCTTCCTTTCGTGCACAGCAGCGTCTACCCTATCTTGTAGGGTATCAATCAGCTCTACAGTGAGAGTCTGATTGTGCACGAACTGAAAACAGGAAGACAAAAAAAAAAAATAAGTAATAAGAAAAAAATAGAGCTGAATTTCGGAGGAAATGAAGGAAAATTACCTGCATCATCAGCAGTTGGTTAGACCTGGCTGGGTCAGGAACTGATCTACTGGATTCGCCCATCCCAGCAGTGGCCTTCAGCGACCAGATCCTTGCCCTGTCTACTTCGGACATGCCAGCAAAATTGCCGAAGTAGGCTGCAGCTCCTTCTCGGTTTTGACCCCATATGAGGTCCCAGATGTGATCTGGGATTGGAATTCGGGGGGCCGAGAAACCCATTTCTCCAGAATGCAGAGTCTGGAAAGAAGGGAAGGACGACGATGGAGCTTGATTAGCCTTGGTTGTCTCAGCATCGTCCTTCTCAGAGGAGTCAAGTACTATGACCTCCTCTTCTTCAGGGGTGAGGACGAAAGCCTCAACCTCTCTTGCGATATCTGCCGTGAAGCCTTCAGCACTTGACATCACGGCATCTTTATTTTCGTGCTCAGCAGCACTCTTCTTGATTTCTTCTTGGACCCCTCCCTTAGGTTCGGGAGTTCTCTGATCCACCTCCATCTCAGGAGGTGGCGGAGGGGTCTTTTGAGGAGATTGGGGTGTTGGCTGGGGAACCCTCGGCGATCCATTGCCTTCCTCAGGTTCCCTTATTGCGACGCCGATGGTCATCGGCCTCTGCTGAAAATCATGAGGGCCGATGATGGCCATCCTTCGGCGCCTTTTCAGAAGGGGCTGCTCGTCCATATCTGAGTCTGAAGACTCTTGTATTTGGTCTTCGGGACGAACAGGAGCTTTGCCTTCTCTGTGTCTGTTACTCTCTTCAGACTGTAACAGACAGGGGGGAAGAAGAATGTGAGTAAAAAAAAAAAAAAAAAAAAAAAAAAAAAAAAAGAAGAAGAAAAGAAAAAAGTTGTCTGAAAGCTCACCGAGGTTTTCAGCAAAGCCTCGTCTTCTTCAGCTGCTCTAGCTGCAGCTTCGGCTTCAGCAGCTCTGGAGGACCCTTCTCCTCCTTCGCAAGCCTCAAGTACCCGTGCAACCTCTTCGGCTGTGCGGGCAGCTTCAGCTTCTTCGTTCAGCAGCTGAAACCAAGGGTCTCTCTTCTTCCACCAAGGCTTCTGCCTCTGATACAGAGCAACAGCCTCAATTTGGAAGTGGGAAGAGTCCAGATGAACTTCCCTATGCCTCGGCTCAGTGATAGACGGGGCCCGTTCAGTTACAACTCGCTCTCGGTTAACACCAAGACGAGTGTAGTTAATACCAACGTTGGTCTCGTCCCGCTCTGAAAAAAGGAAAGGGAAAAAGTTTAGCTCAGATATGTTGGCACAGCATAAAAAAGCAAAGCGAGAGAAGAAAAAGAGGTAGTTAAAAGCCTCGGCCCCAGCCGAAGAAGCTTACCATCCTTAAACTTTCGGCTGAGGCCAACAGCTGCTAGCATGTTCTCTTGGAAAACGTAATGCGTATCGGGGAGCCAAGTCTCCGGGATATGCTGCATTCGACCACTTCCCCCCGGGTTCGGCAGCTTGCCGAAGATATGTTGCTGATCCAGGTTCGGATCCGCCCCGTTATCTGCGGGGGGACCTAGACTTCCCATTTCGGGATCAGGCTCAGCTAAGTACCGGGGAGCGCTGAAGACGCAAGGGTGGCCCGGATCTGTGGGTGCCCTAACCCAAATCCATTGACCTCTCCAGTCCTTGTCTGAAGAGTCATTTGGCCACATGGTCAAGTATTGGGGCCGGGACTCAATCCGATACCACCCAGAACCATGGCTTCCGTGCCCACTTTGAATATTTGGCACTAGCCGATGGAGCTTTCTGAAGCAGTGCAGGTTCGGCACGTATTTGAAGAACTTGCAGACCCATAAGTATGTCATCACCCTTCGGATGCTGGTGGGGGTTAGCTGACATAGGGAAATGTTGTAATGGATCAGCAAGTCTCGGACGAAAACGTCCAAAGGGAACCTCAGCCCATACTGAAGCTGTCTCGTGTACACCCCCACATACCCCGGGGGTGGACGATGGATTCTATCGGATGCTGAGGGCATTCGGCACCAATATCCATCAGCTTCAAAAATGCCGTAGTGCAACTCAATTTGCTCAGCAAATCGATATTGATCGGCGTTCTCTACCCACCATGAGTAGGGGCGGTTCTTTATCATGGCCGAAGCGACTTCGGCATTCTCCCACTCTGAAAACCCAGGGAGGATATCCCAAAGGACAGCGGGAATTTCATCGTCCAGTCCAGAAGCACTCGGCTCATCCGTTCTTTGAGGAGGAGCCGAGGAAAGGGGAGTCGCCCTAATCCCTTCAGCAGGGTCAGACTCCGGCCTTCGACCATTCCAGGTCCCAATCCTATTCCTAGGATCGGGAATCGGCCTTGCTCTTCTTGGAGCACGGGCTCTACCTCTAACTCCTCTTGCCATGGATTATTTCGAAGAGAAAAGTCGAAAGAAAAGGGGAAGGAGTTCGAATTCGAAGAAAAATAAACTGAAATCAAAGGAATTTACCTTAATCTGAAGCGAAAGTTGCCGATTTACGAGTTCGTAGTGGCAAGTCTCAGTTTCTAAGCTCAATGCTCGGGGGAATTTGCGAAGTTTTGATGCGGGTTCTTGGTTTCTCTCTCGAAGAATTCTGGGTTTGTGTTGGTGAATAAGTGAGGAGAATGACGCGCCTCTGTTTATATCTCCAGGTACGGGATACGAAGAGTCTGTGCTTTAATTTCTCTTAAGTACCCACTAAGTAACCATTAAACACATGTCTTGTGATTAAACCGCCCATTATCCGTCCAACTTCCGCAAATCATTAACCGTTGTTATCTCATTAATTACGGTTTAAATTCAAATTTTTGGATCAATTAAATCATTTACTTCCCTCCTTTTCTGAGTTAAATCAAACCCGACCCGTCATTCTTCCAAATCGGGTCTGGGGGGCAAGTTGTTTGGGTCCAATTTAGTCAAAATTGGGCCTGAGCACTAAATGATCCAATTAAAAGCCCAAGGTCAAGGTTCAACTCTCCAATTGCTCAAAAGTCAAAAGTCAGCCCACAAAGTAAGCCAATTGGGCTAAAGCCCAACCTCTCCAAGTATGACAAGGTATAAAAGCCATCATATTAACACATTCAAGAGGACATCACATACATTATCTCATACACTGATTATTCCAATTCATATGCTCATTCTTGCATTGAGAAATACTCCACAAAAGCCTCAAGCTACAAACTCTCTTGCATAGTGTCTTCCTTTTTACACATTGTACTGACTTTAGCATCGGAGGGGCCTTCCTCGGAAACACCCCCGAGGCTAGTTTACGTGTGTTCACTGTGCAGGAAACCTTCGGCCCAACACAGCTTGGATCGAATCCAGTCTTCTCCATTTCAGTGGACCTTCGGCAAGGTCCCATTGTTTTCAACCGAAACAGTAGCTAACTTCTCCTCCAAGATTATGTTAACTATTATAATGTTAAAATAATCTATAGTAAAATATACTTGTAATATTATTACATGATCTTGAAGATTATAAATTCAACCCAAATTCTAAATAGAATTATATCTACAACAAACTGTTTATTTCCATCAGAAAATGGATCCTTTAATACTTATCCTCATCACCCCTATAATATTTTTGGTTCTATATTCTCTTACTAAAGTATTATATTCACTTTGGTGGAAGCCAAAATGGTTGGAAAAGAAACTAAAGCAACAAGGCATAAAAGGCACCCCTTACACTTTCTTGACTGGAGACATGAAAGAATGGGTGAAGCAAGTAGAGGATGCTTGGTCCAAACCAGCCAACCTTAACCATCAGATCGCAGCTCGTGTCGATCCTTTCACTCGTAGTATATCCCAGAAGTATGGTATGTATCATGTATGTGACTTTGTGTGAGTTGTGTCTATCCAACTTGTTAATCTTTCTAAGAATGACAATATAATATGTGAGTTGTTATAACTATCGTACAAAATTTTGGATCTTACAATTCTACGATCCAAAGAAATTTGATGGGTTCGAATCCTTGTTTAAGTCTATGTTTGTGTCATTACTTATATTATTCTTTGTTTTAATATCATTACTTGCAAAGTAAAGAGTCAACCTTTCAGAGACCAGGTATAATCTAGCATTTCATCCATAATTTTGTGAGAATCAACTTCTTTGACTCTTTCTAATTTTAGTATAGCCAAACTAGTAAACTACCACCTGCAGATACATATGTATATATACACCCGCCACCCGCCTCCCGCCTATTGGCCTATATTGGTTGTAAGTTAAATGGAACTGATTAGATAAAATTTGTGGCGAACAGTTGAAATTTGCTGTAAAACAATCAGTTCAGTATAAGATTGGGATTGAACATGTTTTATGAAAACAGGGAAGGTAGCCATGTGCTGGGCAGGCTCAACACCGAGGCTGATTATCAAGGACGCGGAGATGATGAAACAAGTGTTAAGTAACAAGGAAGGTCATTTTGAAAAGCCATACATAGACCCACAACTCTTAGTCCTAACTAAGGGTCTTACGACTTTGGAAGGTGAAAAGTGGACAAAACACAGAAGGATCATCAACCCTGCTTTCCATATAGAGAGGCTAAAGGTATGTTCCGTAATTCTGTTATTCCAATTTTTTGCTTCAGAAGTCTGATTCTGTCATACATTGGTTTAATTTAGAACATGGTGCCTGATATGGCTGCTGCTTGTGGTGAGTTCATCGAGAAATGGAAGAACTTGGCTGGTGCTGAGGGAAGTTGTGAAGTCGACATCTGGCCTGAGTTTCAGAATCTGACAGCAGATGTAATTTCGAGGACAGCTTTTGGGAGCAACTATGCAGAAGGGAGACACATTTTTGAGCTTCAGAAGGAGCTTTTGAATCTTGTGATCGAAGCAATGCAGACGTTGTACATTCCTGGTCTCAGGTATATCATATTAGTGCTTCTGTAAGTTAGTGTAAGGGGAGAACAGTTCATGATAAAACAGGATTAAATTTCCTGCAGATGTATTCCTACTAAAAAGAATCGGAGGAGAAAAGAATTGAGCAAGATGATCACATCAATGCTCACAGATGTGATCAGGAAAAAGGAGAGTGCTGTCAAAGCAGGAGAATCAAAGGCGGATGACTTGCTAGGCTTGCTTCTGCTGTCTAATCAACACAGCAATGAAGCAGAAAATGCTACAATTCTGAAACATGGCGGGTTAACAACAGAGGAAGTGATTGAAGAGTGCAAGCAATTCTACTTAGCTGGCCAAGAAACAACCGCCAGCTTACTTAATTGGGCTATGATAGTGTTAGCTGTGCATCCAGATTGGCAAGAGAAAGCGAGAAAAGAAGTCATAGGAGTTTGTGGGAAAAACTCGATTGATTTTGAAGCAACTACTTACCTCAGGACAGTAAGTTTGTCTTATCAAATTGTATTTCAGTTCTAAGAGTTATGTGAATTACAAAATATAACAAATGCCACCACTTAAAGAAATAATGCTCTAAACTTTATGATCTGTAAGACATAAAAGTGGTTTAAGAATATTTTCATCTCTGGTTTTTAGGTTAATATGATACTTCAGGAGGTTCTAAGACTATACTCACCTGTCATTGCTCAATACCAGCATACTTACAAAGAAACCAAACTTGGAGACTTCGTCATCCCTGCAGGAGTTGATATTACACTTCCGACACTACTTATCCATCACGACCCTGATATCTGGGGAGACGATGTAGATGAGTTCAACCCAGAGAGATTTTCTGAGGGAGTTTCAAAAGCATCCAAAGAGCAACTCGCGTTCTTCCCCTTTGGATTTGGTCCAAGGACTTGTGTTGGTCAAACTTTTGCTCTTGTTGAAGCTAAGGTGGCTTTATCTATGATTCTACAGAACTTCTCCTTTCAGCTCTCCCCATCCTACAGTCATGCTCCCCACACTGTTATGATGCTTCAACCGCAGCATGGAGCTCATATAATAATGCATCCTTACCATGCTCATTAGTTCAAAAACTTTAAACATTAAACAAGCTGCAACTTTGTTATAAATCTCCTACCATGTGTATACTAGTGCTTTGGTGTTGTCATAATCTTACTTTTATATCTAAAGAACTAGAGTGTACCCGTGCTATATACGGAATAATACAAGTCTTTTTTTTTTCAAATGTAGGAAGTTTGATTGTGATAGTATCAAAGAAAAAAAAAATTATATAGTATGAGTTATTAGATTATAGTAGTTGTAGTTAAGTGAGAAATTAGGGGGATACATATTTATTAAAAAATTTCTTTCTTATATATTAAAATGAAAAAAAAAAAAAAAAAACTATTACATTCAAGGATTTACATAGACCAGTGCAACAGAAGAAGTGAAAGAAATGCAGCATTATGAATGAAACAAGCCACAAATGTGTACACTCATGGTTATTTTGGTGAAGACTCAATGAGTGATAAGACTCATTCTTTGTTCTCATTAATTTTGCTATAATCACATCAACGATATCACAGTAATGTAGTACAACGTAACAACGAGTTAACTGCATCTACACATTGCTATATAGTCAAGGAACAGAACCATTTTACAAGCCTAGCATAAGAGTCTTAATTTGGAAATCAAAATTTATAGCAAGAAACTTCACATAAAAAAAAAAAAAAAAAGTGAAAATATTCATTCAATCATTATCTTTTTTTACGAATGATGTCAAAATTTTACATCATTTCAAGCACAGATGGCTTTAAATGATGTTAGGTACACTTTCCAGAGGAAAAAAAAAATGAGTAAAAGGAACCTCTCCCTTTCATTGACAGGTTCTAAAAATGGCTTGTTTTTTTTGGTAACTATCATTGAAGGAATTATAAGGTATGGAAAGCAGACTTCTATAGAGCCTCGCGTTTAGACTGTATATTCTCTTTTCTGTAGACTATCAAATCTAAGTACTCCGTATCTTAAAGCTTAACCATTAGCAACCCAAGTCAGCAAATTTATCCAAAATAGAGTCCACATCAGGAGTTAGAATAGCACGCTTATTGAGCTCCCCAACAACACAGCAATGCTTCTCCGCAGAATTAATAGCCACAACATCCTGGGCAAATGTACAATCTGAACCAAGGCTTGCCTGCAGCAAAAAGTTTAACCATAAAAATGGGATGTCAAATTGTCAATGCAGTGAAAACTATTGGGAAATTAGAGGGGGATAGGGAAATTCCCTACAGCAAAGAAATAGAACAATCACAATTCAGCAAATGTAGGCAAATAGGCAATCTTTACATTCCAAGATATTTTAACTTACATATAGAACAGTCCAATCCAAATAGACAGAGTTGTGAGAGTTGCTAGTGGGCAATATAATGAATTGTTTTAAGAAGGCTAAAGGAAATAACTTGCTCTTTTGTCCTTGTAGGTCAACTGTTGAGTTTTCAGTGGAGGGTATATCTATGGCTGTATAACATCAGGTAAATCAACTATGGTAGAAGCCATAGAAGCCTTGTGCATTGAGTGGTTGTCATAGCAATCATATGTTGTTATACATGATGTAAAGAGTAAAGGCAACAAAAGGGATGTTAAAGTTGTACAATCCAATTGAAGTCAAAGGCATCACGCAACCAATTCAACCACTCAAAATATACCATCTCATTTTTTATCTTTCTAGCCAGTATAGGTTAGACTCATATTACAGCCTTTTAAAATTTGCACTTACATCATAAAGGGTATCTCCAAGCTTAAGCTTCACAGCACCACTTTTGTAAATCAGCATTTTTCCCATGATACCTGCTTGTAAATCTTTTAATCCAGCAGCCTTCTCTACGGGGTTTGAGCCACTTGGTGGTTTGGAGCTGCTGGTTGAATCTTGGCCTGCAGCTGAAGTTTGTTTTGTCATCGGGATAGTCGTTGGTAGCTGAAAAAACATCATCCTAGGCTCAGAATCTTCCTCCTGCCATGAACAAGTTCAGATACATTATGCAATCTGGAACTCTATTGTCATAAATTCACATCACGTGGAGCTATTTATAATACTCACCATAAGGCCAAGCTCCATCGCTGGGTTGGACATATTTTCATCAAAAGTAGACAATTGCCCAAATTCTTCTTCATTAAGGATATCTGAAAGCAAGGAAAAATTGAAATTTTTTAAAAATAAAATTAAAAGGCTAATTTCATCTGTTATGCTTGCATATATGACTTAAAACAAATTACATTGAGCCACAAATTGATGGTACTCAAAATCACTAACAAAAATACGTAACATGCCTTGACATACCTGGATTTCCAGAATAAGGCCTTCGAAGAGGAAGAGTTACAGGATAATAGCTGTAATAATTCTGTGAAAGCATGTACAGAATCAATTACGGTTCAATAAGTTCAACTCAGAGGAAAAAGGCAGAACAAACCAAATAAATTAAATGAGTCGGGTAATGACCAATTTGACCCATTAATGAAAAAACCTACCCATGGTTCTTTGTATTCTTTGTTCTCTCTCAGGTTGGAAAACTGAGCTTTATCTGGGTTACAAAAAATTTCTTAAGTTCATAGGAGTTTAAGCAGTGAAATCATCAAAGTTATTGCTCACCAAAACACTATACCTTGATTCCAAGAATTATTTCCATTGGAGGCACTGAATTGATTACTGGGGATTGATGATCCGTACCCAAATGCAACTCGTTGAACAGGTTCTGCTGCATACCATAAAACCAAGAGGAAACTTCAGGTGTTATCAAAAAGAAAAAAAGAAGATTCCGTACAGATTTGAAAATATTGATTAAGAACCATGTCACTTCACATTTATCCCCATCATCTCAAAAAGGCAAGAATTTTTTCTCCAAATAGGCAAATAGGAAACAAATATGCATGCAGCCATGCAGGGATCATCAATAAGGGGAAGTAATGTAGATTAACATCAAGCATGAAGATAGGTTTTGACGACAACATGCATAAGCTGGCAGCCAACAAGCAGATAGCTTGATTACATTAGGCTAACTTGTCTATGGTCACCGTTAACCATTATGATTCAATCCCTAGTGGTATTTCTCTCCTATTACTTGGTGATGAGGCGTATCAGGTTGGTAGGGTTGGGCTTAACTCAAGTCACTATCAAAGAATATGGTCCCTTAGAAATTTTACCCAATCATTAATGAAGCCTTGGAAGATTAGGGGTCCAGTCCTAGTCCTTACCTACCAAAAGAGGGGAGAGAAAGCTCATGAGGATATTTTTAAAAGAAAAAAAATTTGAGTCAAATCAATGTAAACAACATATTAATGCTAACTTGACTAAACAACATTTGTCAGCTTTCAGGATTCACCAATAAAATGGGTAATTTTCGTACTCTTGTGCATTCTTGATCATAATGCTCATGTGCTTGATGCTCATATCTTAGATGCAGCAAGGAGTAAAGACTCAGAAAAAAGAACTCACATTTTTTATTAATCTTAGGCTTCGCTGTTAAGGCATCCTATGAAGGAAAAGCAATAGATTAGAACAGGAAAATTTTGCTTACATATAACAATGACAGAAGATGGGAAAATAGATGTTCAATGGATATAAGCAAAACCTGAAAACGTCGCACTAACTCCTTTGCCTCAGCAGTTTCAGCATCATCAATCACTTCACTGCAAACAAAAGACATTAATTGGCTATATGTACACTGCAGAGTTCATCCCCCGAAAACCACACTACTAAAGCAATAACACCATACGTTTTTGCAACAGCAGCTTTTGTTGCTTTGCGTACTGGAGCTTTTGGCTGAAATCTCACCTACAATGAGAAAGACACATATTATAGAAAAGCCTAGGAACAATAAATGTGTTTGTGATGAAAGAATGAGATGTAAACCTTTCGTGGTGCTGGTTTTTGGTCAAACGATCCTGGATTCATCACAATTCGATTGTAAACTACTACAAAGATAAATCCATGAGTTAGCCACAATTGGGTTAGCGACGAATTCCCTGTATAACAGATACTTATAGACTACATGTACAATGAAACTTAACAAATTCAAAACCAAGATTTTGCATCAAAATCAGAAGCTCATTCATAATGTATGATGTATGATGTCCACCATTGACATTGTTATCCATAACTACTAATGTACAGTGAAATTTAACATAATATATTGTAAAGATTCACCCTTCATCAATCAATTCATTCTATCTGTATCCCAATATCCTCTTCCTAACTCTCCAAACTACGCGGGATACTGAGACTCAAAGTCGGAAACACGCAACCGAAAATTGATGAAGAAAAACCATACCCCAGTAGCCACTCCACTCCCTAAGACTGAAAAAAATATACCTCCCACTATTCGCGCAACATAACCGATCAAATATACTATGCTGAAAGAAATAACAATGCTATCAAATTGAGAAGTTATCAATGCTTTGCAAATACTTGAAAATTCCAAATAACTAATCATTCATCATTTAGAGAATCCAATTATCTCACCAACAAACATATAGTGAAAGTAATTTCATAGTTCAATCCTAACATTAAAGGGTTATGCAATACATTAACAACTTACCTGAGAAGCTGCTGAGAACGAATAGTTTGTAGTGGAGAACGTCAAGTGCGATGTTGAGTGTGCTTCAATGGAGAACTCAGAGAGAGAAAGAGCGCAATTTAATGGGTTGGAGCCCCGTTAAAACCCCTAACCTTGCCCCAATTATAAATGGGTTAGATTCGTCAATATATAAATGGGCTAGGAATTTATACGATTGGCCAATTACAGATCCTTAATCGGGCCAGTCCGGCGTTATAGTGATTTACAACCTCCGTTAGTACATATTATTTGCAACGATTAGACATTTTTCTCTGTATTTTAAGTCAAATTATTGTAAATAATATATAACAGAGGTAGTATACAGTATTAATTTCTCATTTACCAGTTTATTTTCTCAAATATCATTTTCACACACCAAATCTTGTATCGATTATATAAACTTATAGAGGAGTACAGGCATGGATGATAGTCTCACCCTCGGACATACAGCAGGGGCACTGAGCATCATCAATCAGGTGCCTATACTCAAGGACACTTCGAGTAGGCAAAGAATTAGAGCAACATCTCCAAAGGAAATAAGGAGTACAGGCTATTTATAAACTTATAGAGGAGTACAGGCTATTTATAAACTTATAGAGGATGATGCATTTAACCAACATATATGTGGAGAGCTTATTATATATACCCGGGTATACCGTACACTGATAAGTATCTTGTTCTCATTTTGATGATTATTTATTATTTAATCATCAAATGAAGAGCAAAAACTAATTTTGGGTTATTGGGTGTTCAGTACACCCGAGTGTATATAACAAATTCTAATAAGTAGTATTGGTGAGGTTTTAGCAAACTATTTGAAATTTGAGTACTTAATATAGAAGTAATGATCTTATTTATGGAGAATTTCTGGAGTAAATCAACTATAAAATTGGTTGACGGTTGGAAACCTGATCTTAAGGAGGAAGTCGGGAAGGTGAAAGCCCAAAATTGCAAATGATACAACAAAGAGTCTCCTACACAAAGTAAATGTAATGTTTTTGCTCAAAATTTCAAGGCTCCGCTCTATTATCATTTCATCAGAAATTCATAGCATTCACAAAAATACTTTATCTTACTAGCATACATGCAAAAACTTATATGACAACAATCTGGAGATCGGCACAAGAAAGAAACCCCCTTTTCAATCATCATATAGCATATTCTCACATTTTTGTCTGTTTACCTCCTGAACTCCGGGGGCCTGCATATCTTCATAGTTTCATCAGAATGCAAACCAAGAAGTTTGAGGTAAGAAAATAAAAAGTGAGGAATTGCAACGAGCTACGGAGTACAGAAAACTGGATCTAAAGGTGGGGAACCACATCTGCTACAACAATAGTTACAATATAACATGTACAGAATAATAAAGGTTTTAATTTCTGATTGCTTGTGTTGTTTGCACAGTTGCAATCAGTTGCGCCATGACAGTGGCATACTGAACTGCTGTATGTTCAGCGGTATACTGGTCTGTTAAGCCATACTCTCCAAAGTTGGGTTCGATATGAATAAAATGACCTGGTAACAACCTCTTTGACAATGTATCTTTCCAAATATCCACAAAGTCCTGAAGGATTTGCCTGGATTTTTCAATAGAAGAAATTGGAAGATACTCAACCTGTAAAAACAGAGGCAAATGAAGATAGTCAAACAATATGGCAGAGAACAAAAGATCAACATACCTAAAAACCCCAAGTATCACTACATATTCTTCAGCAATCAGTAAACAAACAAATCATTGATAAACTGGTTTATTTCAAGATTTCAAGACATATAAAGTGTAGGGTACCCTGAAAGGCTGAAACCACACTGCAAGTATCATTTCGGATTTTATTTATGTATCTATTTATTCAGAAAGTACAAGAAAAAAAATGAGTGGGTGGGACTTGGAAGTGGAGCAAAACCGCAAAACTTATAAGAAAACTATACAGGTAATTTAGCTAATAAAAAGGGACAACTCAAAAAAAGAAACATAGCCATAAAAGAATGCACAACCCTGGAGGGCGGGGGAACATGTAAATATAATGAAGGACAGCTAAACATTCAATAACCAGTAGCTTACTTTTGAGAAATGAAGAAAAATTTTAAGTATTAAATAAGTTGATTACTTCTGACATTTCCAGGATGATGTGTTAGGATTAAGCTCAAATTGTTCAGAGAAATGGCATACATGACAGGATTCTGAATAACAAAGTGCCTGTAGAAAATACTCAACTGTTTCTGCTTACCCTATTTTTCTTTTTCAGATTCAAGAGAAGAAATTTCAAACAAGATCTTTTCACTGTAGAGAAGCAATATTCATATTCTGTGTGTTGTTCGATTGAAGAAATTCTGTATCTAGTAAAAAATACGAAGTAAAACAAATAGCATGACACTTCATCACAAGTTAAGAAATACTCCCTCCGTTCCTTATCTACATGCCTATTTCCTATTTTTCACGGGAATTAAGGAAATTAGAGATTCCTTAAAACCCATGATTGGGAAGTACAAATGTGCATGTGGGGTTACAGAGAAATAGAGAAAAAGAAAAGGTAATTGGTAATTATTGAAGAGATAGAAAGTGTTGGAAAATGATGTCAATAGCAAAAAAAAAAAAAAAAAAAAAAAAAAAAAAAGGAAAATTGATGACAACTCATCAAAAAGTGGGAATATTGTCAAAAAGTACATTCTTTAAATAAAAATAGGCATGTAGTCTTGAAACCCCCAAAAGGAAAGTAGGCATGTTGATAAGGGAGTAAAGGGACGGAGGGAGTATCAGTTTCTGAAAAAAATTAGTTTACTGCACATGACAAAGTGGTTATGTTGGTGTTGTGTATCTGAAGCATTAAGTATCATCTCAGCAGTGATCAAGCAAAGGGAGTATAGTACAGTAAAGCAAAAAATTGTTACTTATCCCACTTACACATTTAGGAAACATACGTAATATTCATCTTGTTTTCCCTCTTTCGGACCTCCTTTGGTAGACAAAAGTCACATAGTTTCATTTAACAGTGAAGAAACATCGTTCAATCTGTGGTTATGTCCTTACCAATTATCCACCTTTACATATTGGCCCTGTTTGGGAGAAAGCTGAAAGCTGAACCTGATTGAGTTAGCTGATTTTGACTAGCTGATTTTATTAACTGATTTGACCAACTTATTGTATTAACTGATTATATAAAAGTGTTTGGTAAATAGCTGATAACTTAAAGGTGATTGAGTATGTGAAATGACCAATAAGCTAATTGTGGGGTAGGTAGTTTAGATAGGATTTTAAATTAAATGAGGTTATAAGTGTCATTTCACAATAATTAATGAATAAGCTAATTGAAAAAGCTCTTAAAATGAGCTTTTTCAAAAAGAGCTTATTTAGTGGAATAAGCTCTTTCAATAAGCTTACTACCAAACACTTGTATTAGCTTGTTTGACTAGTCAATTAGCTAAAGTTAGTCAAATAAGCTAATATACTCCCCAATAAGCTTACTACCAAACCGGGCCATTGGCTTATTGCACTTTGAGTCTTTGAACCAAAAGTATGATGCCAGTTGCCAGGCACAATCAAAATGATGAACTTATGCCACTTTCCTAGTAAAACTATAAGGTTGTTCCAATTAGCTCATTTTATAAACTTGATTAAGGTCATTTTGCATCTAGAAACCAGTCAAATACAAATGGGAAGACACCCATCTTTGTAAGCAACTCTTCTTTGGTCCCCACAACTACATTTTAAATTATTTCCACTCTTCAAGGTACATACTCCAACATCATTTTCAGTATTCTCACATTCTTTACTTTTGAATAAGTTATTAAACACACTATTACCTTCTCAACGTAGTAAAATTTAATTCTCCAACAAGCCCCACTGCCATAATATTTCAAGCATCCTATACAATTCTCCTAAAACTCCACAAGGAAACTTGTGTGAAAAAACGGAAGAGAATTCAGTTTACTTGGCTAATAAACAATATCTCACGCACTACCTCTTAGACAATAACAGCTTATCTACAAATGAACAGGAAGCAAGTCATCATAATTACATTTCATAGTCTTAGCATACTGATAATGATTTATCCTGAACAAATCAGATATATTGATTGATTTTTCATGGCAATAAATACCTCCATGACTATTCCTCGCATAGTTTCAGAATGACTAGGAGCAACCTTTCCTACTCTCACTTGGAAGTCCCCAAGCTGGTACTGGATTCCCTGCACACACAGTAAAAGAGCAAGTTCAGAAGCAGTCAAGACCATTAGATAGAAGAAAAAAGCCAGACAGTTATGTAACACATCAAGCAAATAGATGCATTCTATATGTAACAAACTCCAGTCGACAACATGAGTAAATTGGCATTAGCCTAGACAACATATACATTTCAAACGAAACAGACAGCACAATTATCAGTGAAGCGATATTTATTAAAATAGATAATTTCTTAAGTTACCATATTTCAGGTAATAAGGTCATATAAATCCTGTAGGTAAGTACAAACCCTGCAAATTTTAATACTACGTACATCAATCTTATAAATTTGTAACAAATATCTAGGGAGAAATTATATATATATATAAAAAAAAAAGAAAAAAAAAGGCAATACATAGCAATTTCCACCGCATAGGAAATCACATAGTATCTCCATAGCATTAATAGTTAATACTAGTACTCTCCTTAGAATTTACATTTCCACATTTCCACCTAGCCAATGACAAGAATAGTCTTGGTAGAAAACAATAAGGTCAATTACACATTAGTCCATCAATCACAATTTTCATATTTCTTTCAAACAAATTACCACTTTACCAGCACCAATAAGAACAGAATTATGAAGCAAACCTCAAAATTCAAGGACACCCTTGACTTGTATGATTGCAACTTATCCATAATTGTTTGTATACTTAAATCTGCTTCAAGAACAATCCGCTGGCCACGAATTATAAAGTAATATTTGTCGGGTTGATCTGGAATTGAGAAACCAAGATAATCACGGGGATATTCGGCTGCCATCGCCTGATCTGATGGGAAATCAACATGTATTAGATTAAAAAAAATGATAATCTACTTTATGAAAAAATACGGGTAAATACAAGTTAATCTCTAAGATGCACATAATTTGTTTATCACATGGCAATTTTGTAAATAAAATCAACAACTTTTTCAGTAAAAGCGGGTCCTACAGTGATGATGACCGGATAAAGTTGTCGATTTATTTACCAAAATGCCATCCCAGAGATTAACTAGGGCTTCGTCAATAAATACTGATTGAAATAAAAAGGGATAACAAATAGACCTCGAGTGATGGGCTTGTAGAAGGTTAGCACAGATTTCCACCTCCCTTCTTTGACACCATTCAAGTTCTCAACACACTGGGAGATTTCATTCATTATTTGAGTGTTCACTGTATTCCCTGCATTGGGGTGCCAATGAAGCACCCTAAAATCGCAGATTTCAGACCAACCCAACTTAAAGAGAGAAGGAATGAATTGAAATGTATATGAACACATACCATTTCACACCCATGGTAAAATGCAAATAGATGGAAGTAAATGCAATCACGAGTGCTTTTCCTTCGAGCACCACAGTTTCACTAAGCAAGCTTCTTGCTCTTGCCTACCCAATACTGAAGTCTGAACTCTGAAACATCAATGCATACCATCCATAAATTGAACAAAAAGATAAGGGGTGCAATCGAATCCTATAGCAACATTAATCCATAGTTCCATGCCACAAAATTCAAACTTGAAACCTCTTTGAATTCGGCATAAGAAACCCCTTAAATTTCAAACAAACAAAAAATGCGCTCAGTACATTTGGAAATAGAGGGTTCACGGCTAGGATGCACAAGTACGAACACGGAGACGATAACACCACAAAAAAATCATCAAAAAATAATGAGATACTGGAAAAGTGTCAAGTGAAAGTACAACATCAAAGAACACACAGAAAATATGGGGTAATTTCATTAGTATTCAATCAATCACTTTAAATTGACATCTAATCAAGATAAAAAAAATTAAATAGTTTATGACAAAAATCGTCCTTAGAAGAAAATATTCAATGTCATACTTCCATCCTACCATTGAAGGGTAATAAATTAAATCTTGAAACACATAATCAACTAAATTAGACTCAATTATCAAATTAGGCTCCAAAAATCACATGAAATTCTTCTCGCTCAAGAATTTCAACAAAGTTGCTTATGATCTTTCATAACTTCAGTAATTATTGCCAAAAGTTTAATAATCTACCTTAGAAAAACCCTAAATTGACATTATTGACAGTTAAATCAACGAAAAACCCTAGATTGTGAAAGTGATATTCAACGATTAATTAAAACAAAGAAGAAGAAAAAAAAAACATCTCACCTCAAAGCTGTTTTAATGGAGGAGAAATAGTTCAGAAGCGCCTTCAATGGAGATTGGTGAATTTGGAATACGCTTAAACGGAGGAGAGATTGAGACGTGAGAATACAATGAGTGAATGAGCAAGTTTTTGTGGGTAAAAACAAGTTGATCTTCGCGATAATTCAGTGGTAGTAAAGTTTACCCATGATTAAAATCGAAGTAAAGTTTACTCATAAAGTAGTGGTTTAGTCCAAATTTGCCTAATTCCTCTCCATCCCTTAATTAGATATCTACTTAAGATTAGATGTCATTAAGTAGACATCTAATCCGTTCAAAAAAAAAAAAAGTAGACATTTAATTGAGGGACGGAGGGAGTATGGTTTTATAACAATATCAATGGGACCTTCATTAAAGTTTTTGTTCACTTAAAGGTCTGTTCTCATTTACTTAATTTCAATTCAGTTCAGCTCTAATCAGTTCAGTTCAGTTCATCTCAGTGCAATTCAACTCCAATCATTTCAGTTTAATTCAGTTTAGCTCCTAATTTTCCTGTTTCATAAAATATTCATTTCAACTCAGCTCAGTTCAGTTCAGTAAATGTGAACAGACCCTTAAGCATGTTTTTTATGAGAATTTATTTTCGCTAAAATGAATTTATTTATGGTGAAAGGAAATTGTTTTTTTTTTCTTATTGAATATTATTATGGAAATTTGCTAAATCACTTCTCAAAAGTCAAAACATCATATTTAGAATTAACCACCTGTTTTTTCAATTATTTTACATTACCACCCCTAAAATAAAAATAGTTATATTTCGATACCCATTGTCCCCGACCAATTTTCCGACCTGAGGGAATAATGGGGCTCTTCGAATCTTTATTCAAGAATACCAATTCTCTTTCCTAGGATTAATGTGGTCTTGTCCCGAGGATTGTATCTTGAAACCTAAGCTTTGTGGTTCTACCGTGCTTTCTTTTTACTTGAGTTGTCTATGTTTTAATGTCTGGAAGATACATATCAATATATAACGATTATTTATTAAGTAATGTTATTATTAACTGTTAATTTTTTTCCTTTGGTATGATAATTGCAATTTTAAAGGACAATGAATGTTATTTAACGACTAACGTTATTTTGCTACTATTAATGAATGAACGTTATTTAACGACCTACCACCTACCTACATGGCTACATACACTGATACACTAATACACATGGTTACATACATTTGATATTTTGATCAATGGAATGCCGAATACTTTCCAGTTAGAGGAGATTTACAATATCTAACATATTTGATGTAAAGCGGTGAGACAAAAAAGGAAGTTCCAAATCCAAATAATTGAAAATTTGAAATAAACATATTTTGGCATCTGATCCAGTTGAGCTTGCAATTGTGCAAATAGATATAGATAAAGGAGCATAAATGTGTTATTATTGCTATAAATTGACCAGAAAGTTACTTTTTGAGTCTTAGGCCCTATTTGATTCACCTTAAAAAAATAATATTAAGTAAAAAATAATTTCAGTTCAGTAAAAATAAGTTCAGTTCAGTAAAATTAATTTCAGTTTAGTAAAAATAATTTCAGTTCAGTAAAAATAAGTTCAGTTCAGTAAAATTCAGTTTTCTTAAAGAAGAATTATAATAGAAAATCAGTAAAAAAAAAAAATCAGTTCAGTTAAAATAATTTAAATTAAGTAAAATTAAGTTCAGTTCAGTAAAAATAAGGTCAGTTTAGTATAAATAATTTCATTTCAGCAAAATTAAGGTGAATCAAACAGGGCTTATTCTGTGCATGCCACCAACAAGGCAACAAAGAAGGAATTTTGCAACTATTTCGAATGTCGATCTTCAATTTCACTACGGTTTAGATACTTTGAGCCTATTCTAGTGGGTATTAGCGGTTGTCGTCGGTTTATAGTATTAGTATTCGAGATATTACAACATAATTTTAACGATTATACTTTGTCAAACACTACTCACTTACGTTTGAGAAACGCTACCCATACACTAATTATACCACTTATGTACCACTATGTTGTCATATGCTTTTCAACTACCCATCTGTTTTTAATACTTGGTCCATTTTTAATTTTTAGTTGTTTTTGAATATTTGTTCCATTTTCTTATTTGTAAAGCTTATATAATATTTAATTAATTTTTCTCACCTAGTGAACCCACAATAAGGGTTTGTTCACATTTACTTAATTTCAGTTCAGTTCAGTTCCGTTTAGCTCCTAATTTCCCTCTCTCACAAAATATTCATTTTAGCTCAATACAGTTCGGTTCAACTCCAATCAGTTCAGTTCAACTCCAATTAGTTCAGTTCAGTTCAACTCAGTAAATGTGAACAGACCCTAAATCATATTTTATTAATTTCATATTCTCTCTCCTCCAATTCTCTCCAGTACTTTTGCTTTTTACCAATTTTTATTCTTCTATCTATCCTATTATCTCTATATTTTATTACTTTCTCCATTTTTTCCTAAAACACTACACATGGAGAAATAGAGCAAGTATTTAAAAACGGAGGGAGTATTAAGTAGTGTTTTCTGTTTTGACCAAATCAAAACACTAACTGCTACCTATAACAAGTCAATATTTGCTAAAACTACTTTGAAATTATACTAGTTTTATATTTTAGTGCAGCGTAAGGGTAAGCAATACAAGTAGGGGTGAAAGTTTGGTTCGTCGTGTGTTTTATAGCTCTAACCAAAACCAAACCACATTAATTCGGTTTTGGGATTTTTCAAACCACACCGCACTATATTACCATTGAAACCGGACCAAACCAAATCGTTGTAAATTCGATTTTTCAAAAGAAAACCAAATCACACCGAAATATTTCATCCTCTTTCTTTTTGTTCCATCTAACTGGTCATTCACTCCAACACCGGCCACATTGGTTGACATTCTAGGACATAAATAAAAACGCAAGTATTATTATTTTTTGACTTTATATATGTAGGGTAGAAATTAGTTTTGGGTTAGGTTATAATATAAATACGGGCCATAATTCGGTTTGGATTTCAGTTTTTGGTTTTGGAAATCTTAAAACCGAAACCAAACCATATTAATTCGGTTTTGGGATTTCTCAAACCGCATCGAACCATATTAGAAAAAAACTGCACCACATTTCTAATTCGGTTTTAATTTTTAAAGAGCATTAGTTTCACCACAAGGTACAAGCTAAGCCATAAAGTAAGGCCAACACCAAGTCCTTTTTATAGCAATAAGCCAATAATGTCTTAATGGCCTTCAAGATAATTGTTGTTTTAAATAGCAATAATGTCTTAATGGCCTTGAAGATAACAGTTGTTTAAAATGTGCAAGATTCGAAGATCATAATCAAATACAAGTAGATTATATTCAAGATTTCAAACCTATTCAACTAATCAATATGCCATTTTTGGTTCCTAGCTCATGTGCAACTGCATGAATTATTTTTACTACGGAGTACAACTTGAAGTTTGATTTATTTTTTTCTCAACCAATAAAGTAACCTACTTTTAGGTTACAAGCGTCTACGGTAAAAATTTCACATAGTTGTGTGGAATATTATGCCTTACAAGTTTTTACTGGCTAATGCATGAATTTAGCTTATAATAGCTAATGACTTTACATGTATTTTTTTTTCGCAAAATCTTATTTTTACATACTATGGAGTACTTCAGATTTCAATCAATTTGGATTTTTCCACATTATCTTGGTACCCTTTTATTTTTAGGGGATTATCTTGATACTTTAAACTACTTATTAAGCATATTTATGTTCTTTTTAAAAAGGGTAAGGAAAAATTAAAGAACCACAAGAAAACCCTCTTGAATGGAAAAATCCTACTGTATTCTTAAATTGATTAAAAAATGAGATTATATATCAATATATAACCCGTAAAAGTTTGAATAATGATGGATCAAATTAAAACTTGTAGTTGCTCTTTTAAGTTTCATGTCGTAGACGAAATAAATTGATGTAAATTAATTTTGTAGATGAATAATTGTGAAAAGCAGATGCTTCATTATAATTTTTTATAAATAACAATATCATCAATGCCATCATGATATATATTTTACAAACATTCAAACATTGTTTGATCTAGTACTAAAGTACTAACTTATAAAACTTTATGTATGCAATTTATGAATTATTACAAACCTATACATAATGTTGGCTAATTCAATTAACTAAAATGCATCATGTACACTAGAGCATAACAACTAGTGCACACTTGACTTGAATTACCCTAGTGTATAAAAATATCAAAATAACCGTACATTGCATATACCAAACCATGACTTCTAGTGATGAAATATACCTTTTAAAGGATGGATAGAGTCTCTCTAATTTAGTCTAAACCAATGGTTGGTCGCGCGGTAGGGACATAAAGCCTAGGCCAATACCAAGGTCATATCTTTATGTCACATAAGTAGCTTATATTATTTAAAAGTGTTACCAATATCCGTATTAAATATTGAGATGATACTCAAGTAGTGATCATGACCACTCCAAATTATATTCTTTCACTCGGCATTTTGCAAGCAACTTTAATTTTGTAACAATAAATTAATAAACTATCGAAGACATTAATAGAAAGACCAAGATATTATTCAAGCATATTGTAACAAAACTTTATAAAATTCTATGAATCAAGTTATATATAGCACACATATATATTCTCTCAACGTTCATGATTTACCTTTGTACTCAAGTGCAAGAAACAGTCAGAATATCTTTAAAGAGAATGAAAATGTTGAAAAGTAAGAATAAAACTACTATTTTAGGAAAGAGTCCAAAAACATGTACTCACAGTAGTTAACTTATCTAGTTACATAACTTGTTATTGATTTCCAAGCCAATCTTCAAGCAATTCTTGAGACAACACAAAAGGCTCTTCAGGGGAACTAGGTGATAAATCACTAGCACCTTTGCTAGACTCATTACTTAGCTCACAAATATCCGAAAAATCGGATTTTAGAAGCTCCGAAATTAGGTTAAATACTCCCATGTTAGGCACATCCATCATTAAATCCGATGGCATTTTGTACTCTTCATCTAATAGTCTTGGTGAAGAAATATTATGATCAACCCAAAAATTTTCCACATTGTAATCCATTGAGCTTGTTTGTTGATCAACCGCGACATTAGTAGTTTTGTTAGCACGTATGATCTTCTGTTGTGGTTGAGGGTTGATGAAGACTTTGGTGCACCGGACTGCCTTGGTTCGGACTACATTGGACTCAATGGTTTGTGTAGATATTTTAGGTACGTCGTCTATGGTTGGTAATAGCTTCTTCTTGTTCTTCACATCATTTCGAGGTTTTTTTAGATTGTGGTTTGCGGTTTGATTAGTATTGTGTTGATTCAATCGCTTGCTCAAACTGGTATTCCAATAATTCTTGATTTCATTGTCTGTTCGACCTGGTAATCTTCCGGCAATCAATGACCACCTACAACATACATATTAGAGGGGTAATTAGATTGAACACTTGTTTTTGGTATAAAATTGAACAATTAAAATATACTGTTTTTCACAAATTCTACTTCATCCTTCGTTATATATTATGTGCAACTTTTAAATTTTTTAGATCTCACAAATATATAATACCTAAAAGTTGTATATAATATGTAACAGAGGTAGTACAGTAAAAATCCTAACCTAATAACTTGGATCACGCAAGCTTTCTTAAATAACAAATTTATGAATTATGAGATAAGTTATTAGGGTTTAGTCTCGACAAAAGATTTTTTTTTTTTTTAAATAAAACTTTAGATTATTCTTCCTTAGTTTGCATATACAAAAAACACAAATTGATCTCTATATCAACATTTCTTAATTGAGATTAGAATTAAGGATCGACTAGATTATTGTAGGTGATATTTATATTATATTATGTAATAAGCAAGTAGTTTTTTTAAATAATTGGAAGCAAATTGAAGAGAAAATAATGTGTAAAATTGTATGTACCTATTTCCTAAAAGTTTATGGAGTCTTATGATGAGTTCTTCCTCATCAGGGGAGATGTTGCCTCTCTTAATACCCGGCCTTAGATAGTTCAACCAACGCAATCGACAACTCTTCCCACATCGCTTCAAACCTATCAAATTACATCATATATAAATAAAATTTAGTATCATTATTTTTTCATATATATATGAAGGTAAGAAGAAAAGGGACAGAATTTGGAATCCCTTCTCATGAAGGGAATTCCTAATGCATCGAACAATTATACACTTACAAGAAATACAAATTATGATTCATATATATGATTTTAATTAATTCGATCTTCTTACCTGCCCTTTTGGGAAGATTTCTCCACCTTCCTTCGCCGTGTGTCTTAATAAACTCACTCAAAATATTGTCCTCCATCGCGGTCCAAGATCCCTTATTCATCCCTTCTTTTGCACAACACGGACTCCTCCCCATCTCTGATTCCCTCACACGTCGTGTATGTATGTGCACCCGTGTATTAAATCTTTTTCGCGAAGAAAAAGAACTAGATCGAGGGAGAATAACGTCGGAATAGTCTCTTTCATTCAATAATATTCTCTCTAGAAACTAATATGAGCTAGAAAGCAAACAAGAAAAAGGTATATGATATGGTATGACATTTTTGCATCCCTTACTTTGTCTTGAAGAAGTGTAGTTTATATTGAGTTAATTTGCGTACGTATGTAGCACTTTTGTGCAAAATTTCAAAGCCCAAAGAAATTATCACACTACCTTAATAAGATGCATTATGCATGGACCACAAAGACTATACCTAATAAAAAATTAACACGATTTGTGAGTATTTGAAAATGAAATTAGCATTAATTAGAAACTGTAGTTGCCTAGTTACTTAATATATGACATAGCATTAATTTGTACGACAAATGGAACTTCTTGCATTACATGTGCAAGAGACGAGACTATTTATAATATTGGGTTTTTATATTAGCCGTCAAATTAATTTATGTACTTCCTCCGTTTTAAATTAGTTGACATCTTGACACGTTGTTTATATCACGTTTATCTATTTATAAATTTAACCGTTAAATATCTTTAATTATTAATAAGTAAGGGAAAAAAATTTAAAGATATACATGGATAGAATTCTAACGAGATTTCAAATAAATATGTTTTTTCACAGTAGAGCTTGTAATAAGTTTTAAAAATCACCATGTGACAAAAGTATCTTTCATTTTATCGATTTAGCACGACCTATTGATTTGGGCACCCTATAAAAGTAGAAATGAGGGGTGAAAGAAAAAGAAGGGTTATTAAGTTTTCGTAATTAATGGGAGAGATATAGACGGATGTAGTGTAAATTATTGGAGTAAGCTCTACCAAATTTGTATCATTTCTTCATCAGCCTATTATGAAAAATTACCAAAATAATCTGTATGAAATTTTACTCAGGTATGAGTTACGTGAATGAAAACAATTGAAAGTACAGAGATGTTTGGTACTTTGGTGAATCGACTGAGTGACTGAACAGGGGTCTCGTAGAACATATGACATGTTTGGTGGCCGTTTCTGGGCTTGGGGCGTTGCCGCGTTGGGCAGCCTTATAAATATATTATAATTGAAGGTGATAATCTTTTAGCTATTAATTTCGTTAAAAGCATTTGGTTAGCACCATAGCAAATTGATCATATTGTTAAAGACATTTGTTCTCTTCTTGGCAAATTCGATAACTGGAGCATTGTCATATCTTCGGGAGGCAATTCAAGCAGCGGACTGGATAGCAAATGTTGGTCATTTAGTTAGTGATAGTATGAATATTGTTTTTTGTAATAATGAGTAAATACAAGTTGATATCAGATATCAACAAAACTTGTTAATATCAAGCCTAATTTTGTAAATTTAGCTACCACACCAAGGGTAATATTGTAATTTTAGCAACCACACCCCTTTTCTCTCCCCTCTGTCACCACCGTGCAACCTCTACTACCACCCACAACACCACCTTTACCTTCACGAATCGACTCCTGCCAACCACCAATCGACCCCAGCCGACCACCACACGGTCGTCGCACCACCACTAGCTACCACCCACATCACCACCTTTAGCTTCACTAGCCTTTACGAATCGACCCAAGCCAACTACCACAGGCTGCTACACCAACATTCGACCGCCGCAACACCACTAGTACGAGCAAATCCCTTTCCCTAAAGGGTTTGTATGGCCCCAATTTTCATAAATTGCTATTAGGGTATCGTTTTTTTGGCCGGCCGACGGGCCGCTGTAGATCCGCGTATGTGGTCGACCTTGGGCATGGGAATGGAGGAGAGAGAAAGAAAAATTGGTCATGTGAGGAGAGGAGAGAGAAAACTGGTGATATTAACAAAAGTTTGTTGATATCAGATATCAATTGGGTCTGGGTCAGTAATAATTGTTCTTTATTTCCCTTCCTTTCTTCCAACACATTAGGAATTCCCCGTAAGAGGAGGGTTTCCTAGTTGTTTTTTTTTTCTTACCATTGTAATAATAATAATAACAACAACAACAACAACAACAACAATAATAATAATAATAATAATAATAATAAAGAGTATATTCAAGTACTTCTAAAAATTTAAAAAGTTGATATTATGAAAATAAATATCAAGATTACTAGTAACAATCTACATAAATACATACTTCGTAATAAAGTATATAATTGTACTCTACATAAATTTGCTCTTATTTTTTATTTTATTTTTTATAGTTCTCTTTGCTCGTTTTGTTGAACATAAAGAACTAAAATTTAGTAAAAGTATTAAGTTTTCTCAAGTATACTCATTTCTGTTTGATTGAAAATTCACTTATTCTGTTATTCATATTTCATATGGACTTCGGTAACCAACTTCGTCTACTACGTTTTTTTACAAAAATTTGATCGTCCTCAAGTAGTGCAACTTTTCATAAATTTGCCAACAAAATAATGTCATATTGCACTCTTCAACTTGATATGAATATCTACTTTTCTCAAATTTTGTCATCAATCAAACAAGTAGTTAAGTCAAGTACCATTGTACCAAGTACTTGACTCGATCACCTATTGATGAGAATTATCATAGATTTCACCTCTCATAGGGAAATTGATTTTGACACATCCTTAATTGATTTTGGCACAACCCTATAGTGAAATTAATTTGGATGTAATTAGCAAGGAAATTAACGATCATAATTTTTTTTTTTGAAAGGAATGATAGCAAGGAAATTAACGATCATAATTAATTCAAGGTAATGTCATTTCATCTCCGAACTTTGAAACTCGTATCATAAATTTTCATTCCCACTCATACAACACCACTAGAAATTTGATACATTATTAAAAAAAGGGAGAAAATTAGGAGTCAAATATAAATTAAATTCTAATGAAACATGAACCTATTATTGTAGCTAATAAAAACATGGAAAAATAAGGTTATATGTACGGACCACATACAACAATTGTATGTGTAGCCTTTCACCACCCGATACTAGTCCCCCCACATGTGATAATCGGGGATAATGAAATTTGCGAAGAAAGTGAGATACTAGAGGATAATCAAGCATTACCATGAATCTTGGTAAATAACTTTTCTCACTTGTATAAATCTCAAAGTAAATCAAAGAGAGGGTTAACTGCTTGAGAAAAGGACATACGTCCTAACCAATTCCTAATTTAGAAAGTTTATATTTATGTGAATTATGTCATCTAATTTAAACCAATGTGATCCCAACACATACTTAATACTACGAAATATTCAAACAAAAGTAGGCCTAAGATAATTAGGGAGTGTTCAACACTTTTCACAAGAGCGTTGACGAAAAAAAGTGCCGGGAATTGTTTATACAAGAACTTTGTTGTCATACGAAGTACTCGTAATTGTTTTGAGTGCAAAGTTACACCAAGCAAAATCTTTTTACAGTAGAAGAATTTTTGTGCCATCAGCGAAATTTATTAGTTCTTGAAACTAGTAACTTTGACTTACTGCGATTTGCTAAGTTGGCATCACCAATCTAGTCGGGGCTTAATAATGTTTATTAGCATAGGCGAGTGCATATTAGGCTATTAGCAGCTTGCAAGTGTCAAACAGGCTAAAATGAAGTTCGAGAATTTACTCGTTCTAGTTAAACCTAATCATCCTAGTGCAATACCATAACGCTAATGGCACTTACAAAGCAAGCAGAGGTGATTGCCATCCCTGATGTAATTATGTGAAGTGCAGCAAAGTACCAGTCACCAGACATTAACACATCAGTACTAGAGGAAACACAAAACAACGATGGAGCCAGTGATGTGAAAGCTTTCATTGACAAGCAATCACACAAAGTGCAGCGCATGCAAACACGACCTTCTACTCAAACAAACAGAGTTACAGACAACCACCTACGAAAACACTAAGTAGAAAAGAGTTCACAAGAAACCAATGTAGATAGCAAGAGTATTGACTATTGACACTCGTTCTTGGCAACTCTTCCCACTTTCTGTTGCGTACTCTCTGATGGTGATGCGCACATTGCAAAAAAGTAATACCTAGTAAAGGTAAGGACCAGTACAGAACAAGTGAACAACCATATGAGACGAAAAAGATCTTGAATGGTGTTAGTCATTGGACCAATTTAATGTTTCATGGGGCCCTAGATGGTAGCCAAACGCTACTCACAATATAAACAGAACACGGAGCCAGCAATGAAGCTAATAGCATCCTCTCCAAAATTGTTAAGTGATTAGAAAGGGTGATGATTTTCATTTTGATCGTTTGAGTGATTTGAAAGGGTGATGATTTTCATTTTGATCGTTCATTTTCTCTTTCAGCTAATGTCCTACATAAAATATTATTGAAGCCACAGACAACCTCAATGCTTTAGTTAAGGTTCTTGCCATACGATTTAAGTCTGAAAGGCCTGCAATATAACCCTCTTGATTTCAAATATCTAAGCATTAGCAAAACATCACTTTTTGAATTAACCCCATGATCCTCAGATTTCAACTTTAAAGCTTATCATCCACATTTGACTCCAAATAAGACATTGTTTTAGCTCACTTGTGAGTTGGGACATTCAAGAATTACTTCTCAGTTAGATTAAAATTGGTAAAAGATAGGGTGAATGTATCAGAATAACTCATGCAAAACACTTATTTATTCAAGTGAATACAACACATAATTTATTCAAGCAACGGCCTTATCCTACCCAGATAGCCATTAACCTTGCCATTAGCCACAGTTGAAGACACGGTTAGCAGCATGATTATAAACCTTAAGCTATTGCAGCCATAAAACAGCAATAACAATTAAGGAGTATTACATAATCTAACAATGTAGTCTCACCTCTCAATGCAAACTCATGATGTGTGTTACGTAGTAGGTAGCAAAAACAATTCTAAATCATAATTCCCATAATTAAGCACAACTTTGCTGAATACTCAACAAACTAACCATCAAATTTAGATTGAGGGTCCATGAATATATTCATAACCCAATGTTAGGTTTCATTCACTTAATAGATTCACATTAATCAACAAGCCATTAATTACCCAAATAAACTATATAAGGTTAGGGTGCTAATAATATACATCATCAACATAATATGATCATGAAATCATAAATCATGGTCAATGTGTATAATTTACAATCAATATTTAGCTCCAAATGAGACATCATTTTTAGCTCACTAGGAACATTCAAGAATTACTCCTCATTCAGTCTTATATTCGTTAAAGATAGGCTTGGTGATAGTATCAGAAAAATACGATTATAAGCAAAACACAGATTGGTGTTTATTCAAGTTAATCCAACGCCTAATTTCCTTCAGCCAAATCCGACTCAAATTGTTATTTAGCATTATCATTAGCCATGGTCTGATCACTCCGATGGTCGAAAGGGAGGTAAGCAGAACAATTTAAGCAGTTATTAATTTTAACATAGAACAACAACAATAACAAATTAACAATCAGAAACTAAAATTAAACCTCTTCAATCCCCTTCTCAAACTCCAACATTGAATCACTAACAATTTAACCCCTCTCCTCAAAGGCTCAAATGCAAACCCAATAACTCATTGTAGTTTGTAGGATTAAATTCTAAAACAGCTATAAACAAGTCAATTGCAAGAACAAATCAATCAATCAAAGCCTTAATCCCATAAATGGGGTCGGCTACATGGACCAAATTTGATTATTACGTGTATTCATCCACAAAAATCTTTCTCCTCCATCCTTTAGGATAATTGCACGAACAAATCAATATGATAATTCCCATCATTAATTAGCCATCAAATTTGGATTATCCAATGTCTTATTCACTTAACAAAATCACATTAACCAACAAGTATGCTACCAATACATGATCAAATTGATGATTATTAATCCCATACAACAAACAATGAAACTACAAGATGATCATGAATCAAAGACTAGCGGATTGTTTCGAAGGAACAACATAATCAACAATAACAAGAGAATCAACAGAATCCCTAACCTTATGCTTCTCATTAAAAGGATCAGAATCAGCATCATGAGAATCCAAATCAGCAACCCCACCAAAAACCCCAATTGAGCAAATCTCAAACCCTTTAGCTCTCGCCGGCGAAAAATTCTCCCCAATAGAAGACTGCTCAATCCCCTTAATCTTCCCCTTCAATCTCCCAATCATTTCAACAACTTCCCCCTTCTTCTCCTCCTCAACCCCTTCTTTAAGCTTAATCAACTGAACTCTAATGGCGGAACCAGGCTTAACCCCAACCGGACCCTCGAGATTCTCGGCGACCCAATCTACGGCCATGAGATCGTCGCAAATGGGCAAAACGCTGGTTCGAACAACGGAGAGATGATCAGGGTGAGCGGAGTAGTCGGCGAGATCTTGTTTAGAGCGGTAACGAGAGTGGAGGATGTGGGTGAAGGAGAGGGAGGAGGAGCGGTAGCGGTGGAGTTTACCGGCGGAGAGATGGAGGACTTGTGGGAGGGTTGAGAGGGAGTTGAGACCGTTTAGCATGGCGGAGAGTTGGGTGGTGTCTGCGGTGGGTTTGACGTTGAAGAGGACGATGTGTTCGATGGTTGTGGTGGTGGTGGACATTGTGGCGCGGGTTGTGAAGGTGGTGCGGGTGGTGGTGGGGAGGGAGATGCGGCGGAGGAGAGGGTGGCGAGTGGTGGCGAAGTGGGTGGTGGGAGTGGTGAAGAGTGGGCGAGTTGTTGCGCTTAGCATTTCGGGTTTGGGGTTATTGAGTTTGAGTGAGGGAGTGAGTTGGTGAGGCTGAGTGTGACTGTGTGAGTGGGGGATTTTATTTGTTTGTTTACATTTATTGCACGAAAAATACAAGATACGAGTATTGGTTGCATTAAAATTTGGTCAAATTACCAATTACTCCGTACTCCATTAGGAGAAAGTATTGTCCACAATCAGATAGGGACAAAAAAAAAAAAAAAAAGATAGGGACAACGAAGGTTCATACCTACGTTGAAAAAAAAAAATCGCTAAGTGTTAGAAAAACGTCATTTGATATTTTAATTATGTTATTTTAAGTTTGGTTTTGTTATAATAAATTTAATACTGTTATATGTTTCTTCAATATTGTTTTTGAGGTGTCATTTTGCTCTTTTCAGTATTGCTTATATATTAAAAGGCTAAGTGTTTGTATTAGAAGTAAAGTGTTATATTTGTCTACTTTTATCGCATAAGGGAAATTTGTTATTAAGGAAGACAATATTGTTATTATAAATTAAAAACTGTGAAGCTACGAGATTTGGTATCAGAGCCATACAGTTAAAAGTTAAATTAAGTTATTAATCTAATTAATAATTAGGTAAAACTGGAGAATAAGACCTTCTCTGAGTGTAAGAAACCTAATTTTGAGCATTATTATCATATTCCTGATAATACTAGTAAGTAATTTTGGCCCAGTCCTTAATTATATAGTAGATCAAATTGGTGAATTAAGATCGGAAGTTGATAACATACATGCTCGTTGTATTAATATCGAAAATAAGATATCAATAACCACAACCGATATTAATAAAAAAAAGTAAGCGATCTAAAAGAACAGGTTAAACAAGTTCAACTTGCTTTAACAAACAAAATTAGGTATCAATTCGGAAAAGAAGTATCATCTAATAAAGAGAAAATTGTCCCGTATAAATATAAGTATCATTTTCAAAATTTAGATAAAATAAAAAGTTTACCGTACCACTCCCTAAAAGACTTACTAGTAACCAAGAAAAGAATAAAGAAACTAAAGATGAGCCCTCATCTTCAGGAGAAAAGGCTTAAGGAATTACAAGCCCTATTCGATAGGGAAGAAGACCCTAATAAGTTTAACAAAATCATGAACTTAATTTCTTAATAAAGGATTGATTTTGATAATGAAATAGAGGGAAATAATTATGTTACTTTAAAGTAAGATTTATATCAACAAATGGGATTAATGAAGTTAAATGATAATAGTAATGGATAATAATGATGTTGGAGAAGAAATTATTAATGAAAACATTAACGTAAATAATGTTATCCAAAGACCTAGGTATCAAGGAGAAGGAAGTTGCACACGGCCAAGATACATACCATGGAAGACTACCCGATTTAGCGTCAAGGTTATGCCTAATCATATACCTAAACAAGAAGAAGTGACTCTTGAACTTATAAGTCAAACTAGTTATAAGCTTAAATTAGATGGTATAAGAGATAGACAAGATGTTTTAGATCAGTGGAAAAAGAGTATGAGTAGTGTACTTAATTAAAACACTAAATGGACTTTAGAAAATTTCTTAAATTATATCAAACATAGTCTCTATGGTTGTGTAGAAGACTGGTACGATGGAATAGATGAAGAAGTCAAAACTGCATTAAGAGTGAATCACCTACTAGAATGTTCAGGCAGTTATGTCAATACATTGAGTTAGAATTCATTGGTCCTAGAGCCGATCCTAATGAAAAATTAATGGAATATCAAAGGAAGTTAAGTAATTTGTCCATATGTAATATGAAATATGTTGATATTTACATTATGGAATTTGAAACATATTATAATAAAATTGGTGAAAATGAAACAAATCTTGGAATGTTCTACGATAAATTACCAAGTCCCATTAATGAAGAAATTAGTGAAAAATATCAAGAATTGAGAGAGAAATTCTTAGCTAGGGATACCCTAGGTAATAGAATTGCTTTTCTAAGAAAATGGATTGGCGAAAAGAAATATAGAGAAGTTGCTGGAACTCAACAAATAAAAAGACAATTTCTCACTTTTTGGGATTTCCCAAATAACTATGGATGTGAAAGAAAAAACTATAATAAGAGAAGGAATTATAAGAAAAATAAATTTGACATATCAAGAGGAGAAACCTATAAGAAAAAATACTATAAACATAAATATATAAAACCAAGTAGGTTTTTCAGAAGGCAACATATTGCCCTGAGGAAAAAAAACATGCAAGTGTTGGTCTTGTGAAGAATTAGGACATTATGCTAATGAATGTAAGAAATCTAATCATAAACTAATGGAAGCTTTAGGAAGTTAGATTACATAGAAATACCAGAAGACGAGGCATTAGAATTGGCTTTGAGCAATAATAAAGGAATTGTAGAAATCATAGAAGAGGAAAAAGAGTATAATGAAGAACCTAAAATTAGTGATGAGTTTGAAGATGAAAATTATGAAGAAATAAATAATATGATGGAAGGAGAAGAGTTAGAAAATTCAGAATCAGATGACAATGAGGAAGATAAAAGCAAAATGACTATAGGTCAACTAAAAAGAGCTAAGTATTCATTTGAAGATAATGACCTAGATCAAGTAAATAAACAAAGAAAGCTGGAATTTTCCCCAGATTACTAAGGATAAAATATTAAAAACTTCTTTCTTTAAAACTATGCATGCGAAGAAATGGAAGGAAGCATAGTAATCAAAGATTGTGAACAAAAGGAAACTGAAATTAATGTCATAAATTGGAAAAGTATTAAAAAAACATAAAGAAAAAGAAAATTATAGCTATGTTTGTATTGGTGCAGTACAAGTATACACAACTCCTTTGCAAGAGTTTGGCAAGGATGTTAAATGCTTGAGTTTTATTTGTGATATTAGACATAAAGAATTTTATGATCAAATAACTAGTGGTATCACATGTAACTTAAGTCAAGGAACAGTAAGCTATATATGTGAACCAAGATATTATGTGAGCTTAGAGGATTCATTTATTTGCATCAAAGTTTTTAGCTATCAAGCTATTAACAGAAGGAGTGAAAATGCATAAGGAACACGACCCATACAATTAAGATGGAAGGTGGTTTATACGTTAGTAAACACTATAGACTCATATTTTAAGAAACAAATAGTCGATGCTCAGAAATATGAGCAAGGAGGAGGTCCTAAGAAGAAAATTACACCGATAAAAGTAAATCCTAATGAAATTGAAAAAATTTGGGAGGAATTCTTTATAAACCCTGCAGTTAGCAATAGATCGAGTAAAATGTTAATTGATGTATCAGGATTATTTCATATTGGAATTACTACAAAACCTAAAATACAAAGTAATATGAGTCTTAGCACACCAAGTCCAAGCATACAAAATTCAACAATAATAAGAATGAAAAAACAAGGTGAGGAAAAGCCAGAAGAGGATGAAGAAGAAATATTAGTTCTACTAAAGAAACTAAATGAAAAATATGAAAGTAAAAAGGCCTTAAAACAACCGGCAAGGCACAACATTGATATGGGGTCATATTCTAATTTAGAGTTAAATGAAGATCCAAAATCCTATTGATAAAAGAAAGGTAATTGGATATAAAACCAAAACTATGAGTGAACCAGTATATGAAGATGAAGTTAATATGAAAATGGAAGCTTGTAATGAAATATCTAGTACTAATCTTAATGGCATTTATATTCTAAATTGATATATGCATTGAGGATTATAATAAATACTACATCCGTTTCTTTTTAGTTGACATGTATTCCTTTTTAAGAAGTTTATTTTTTTAGTTGACATTTGGGGTAAATTTTTTACCTTGCATTTACAAGCTACCCCACTTTCTTTTTCATTCTCTCTCACTCTCTCCTCTCCTTAATATGTGTGTCTAGATAAAACGCGTCAACTAAATAGAAACGGAGGAAGTATAAATTATGTGCATATATTGATAGTGATTGTTCTACATGTTTTGGAAAGAGGTCATTATTTCCAGAATTCTTGTAAAACAAGGCTAAAAATCCTATGCAAGTGTCATGATGCATATAGAGATAATCAAAGAATTACCAATAGAAATTGGAGGAGTTCAATGTGTGATTCCTATTTTATGGGCAACTAATCAGCCTAGTTATGATATGATAATAGGAAATAATTTTCAAAGATTATACTCTCCATGCACTCAAACCATAGATCAAATAATCTTTAATATTAATGGTCATTCGGTTCTTATACAAAAATTAACAAAGGCATATGCTCATCAAACTATGGAATTTACGCGCAGCCAGCATAGTGATAGAGTTACACCTACACAACGAGAGGTTGTACTTAGAATTTCTGAGTGTAATTCATCATTAATAGATCAGATAAATAAGAAGCAAGAAAAATTATGTGAAAAACTATATTCAACAAATCTATTAGAACATTGAGAAAAGGATAAGGCATTTGCTAAGATAATTCTAACAAATCATAATAAGATTATTAGAGTAAGACAAATGGTCTATACCTACCAAGATATACAGGAATTTGATGAACAAATAAAAGAACTGTTGAATAAAAAGCTAATTAGGAATAGCTAGAGTCCTCATAATAGTCCAAAATTCATGGTAAGAAATCATGTAGAAGAAAAGAGAGGTAAGACTAGAATGGTCATTAATTATAAACATCTAAATGATAATACTGTTTTTGATGGCTATTACATTCCTAATAAAACTGTGTTATTTAATAGAATACAAGGAGTCACATGGTTTTCTAAGATGGATTGTAATAGTGGTTATTGGCAAATTAAATTGGAAGAAGAGAGTATTCCATTAACTGCATTTAGTGTCCCTCAAAGGCATTATGAATGGTTAGTAATGCCTTTTAGATTAAAAAAGATAAGAATGGATGATATTTTTAGAGAACTTAATCATTGTTGTTTGGTCTATATAGACGATATCCTAATATTCTCAAAAGATTTAGAACAACATAAGAATGATCTTAAAGCAGTAACTCAAAAATGTGAAGAGCATGATATAATCCTTGGAAAGGATAAACTTATAGTCTAGTAATTACAAGGACAACATGAGCTAAATTAATTACAGGGACATATATGGCACCACAAGAATATATATGTCCCTGTAATAAAACTCAATACTAT